CACAACACCACCACCCAAACAAAGCCACACCACCTTCAGGGGAAACAATCAGCACCTTCATCGTTGATAAGCTCTTATTAAAATGGATAAAATAATTATTTGCCATGTTACCTGTTCAAGGTGAACAGCTGTTTTCCTTGTACATAATTTCTAGGTAATTGCAGGTCAGGATGAAGTAACTAGATGACAACTTTGAAAAAGAATAACTTGCCTTTTTATCATGAACTAAAAGAAGCAAGAAGACATAACTCTTTGGAAATGAATATTTGGCTTAGTTATCCATTAGTGTGACAGTTCATAATTCACCTTGAGTTGTGATTTACCTCCTTCACATTTCATCCTCTCTTCATTAGGTGTGAAGGCAGCTGAGATGTGAAATCTTGGTTCCCCAAGTCATATCTCAGATTCTGTAAGAAGGCTGGCGTGAATGCTTTCCTTGATCTTAATGCAGTATTATATGAGCATATGTACTCAACTTCATCCTTTTAGTACACAGGGCTCTAGAAGGAAAAAGTATCGGTGCAATTGATTCAGGTGTTTGACTGAATCCCCAGTGCCTTTAGTGGTCATGCAGAGACAGCAGCAGTCTTTGTTTGCCATTCTTTATCTTAGCCTTGAACCTGAAGGAGGCATACAATACAGCCTTGCATTAACTGGCAAGGATTCATAGTCATCTTGAATTTGTAGTCTCATTTGTGAGGTACTAATTCATTTCAGTATGTTAGCAGTGAGGCTTTTTCTTGCTACTACCCTACATTCAGCAGGCCAGATTTTCAGTTTCAGCCTGGTGTTTCCTGATAGCTAGTTCTGTGCCTTCAGATGTGCCCCTGACCAGGAGAAAACACTGAGCACAGAGGATAAGATGAAATTTAAAAGAAACTGAGGGTAGGCCACAATGATATGTGTTTGATCTTGTTAAATATATTCCTTTTGTCATCTCATAAATGAAATTCTTGCCTGATGTAGAACGTCTGATTTGAACTTAAGCACCTAGAAGACGGATGCAACTCTTTATTTGAAATATCTGATGAGTTGTAATATACAATTCAAGTTCTCACTTCTGTTTTGTAATCTGTGAGCTTCTCAGCTCACTTAGCTTAGATTCCTTTAATAAATGCACTTTCAGATTCTGAATTTTTGTATATAAAATAATTTGTTAATTAAAATGCATGCTATTGTTGAAAAAGGCGATTTGGGCCTTCACATTGAGGAACATATAGAAAAACCTGTCCTGTGTTTGACATCAGTTAAACTGACATTTAAATTCAGTTGTCAATTGCAGAGAGAACAATCAGAGCTAATTTGGAAGTTAAGGAGGTTAAGAAACTGAACTTGAAAGGGCAGGAAGGTTTTCTGGAAGCGAAACTAGGCTGGAGGGTGAGATCTGCTAACTCTAGGCTTTAACTGGGCCAGATGTTTAGATGTCTGCAAGATAGATGTTGTTCAAAAGTTGTCTGGTTTCCATGGCCTTAATATTTCATGGTTTCTTTCAAGTGCTGAGATGCTATAAAAATTGTTTTGAACAGAATCTGTTTGTTCATCAGACATGTTTTTGTGGATTTATTAAGCAAAACTAAATGCCAGAAGTAACTTGGTGCATTTAAGCAACTTCTCTTATTCTCCTAGATTGTTTAAAAACAAAAGTCAAAATAATTCAGTTTGGCATTCAGATTTCAGATTTCAGTTTTAAAGTCAGGCAATTTTTAAAGTCAGTCATTTCACTTCACAGTGAAATGTTTAAAGTCAGAGTTTGTTTTAAAGTCAAAAGATCTTATGCCACTGTATGCTAATAAAAATGTCTGTTCATTGTTGCTGCAAAATTTTAGCTGCTTAATTTGAAGTATTACTGGTCTGATCATTCATTTGAGAGGTCATTGAACAGTTTGGTGCTACATTAAACTTGTTTCTTACTAATATCCCATTTTACAGAGTATGGAAATTGAAAAGTATGAGATGAGCTGTTCTCACAGTCACCAAGGCTACTAACAGCACGGTACTGTGTAGAGCTTGTGGGCTAGTCCTCTCTGCTGAGCCTTAAATCTTGTAAATTAGACTAAACAGAGGAATACCATTTACCAAACCAGATTATGTACGTGTTCAACAAGTCTTTAGTCAGGACTTCAGATTTCAGGCTTTTTTCTTCTGGTGGCTGTTTGCAGTGTAGACAGTATATTGTAATATTTAAATAGTCCTCTACTTCATCCCACTGTGTTTTAGTTTTATACCTTTATCTGAAGTTTAAGTAGTGCAAACTGTCAAAGTGGTTCTCTCAGAATGGGGATCTCCCAATGTATCTGTCAGTGGCATTTCTTGAAATGTCTGTTTCTCAGAGCAAGATTTGAAGATGGCAAGTTTGAAAGTGTTGCCAAACTATAAGTAGGTGAAATTACTATAATGTTATTGGGACTTCTGTGCCCACAATTCAATGTAATTCATAATATGATCATGTACCATTGGTGCACAGTTCTTAATTTTCTGTCCCAGTTTCTGTTTTCCTGAAGTCAGTATTGTTTTCACTGCCTCCCCTCGCTGCCCTCATCATCCATGTGTCTCGTGTGTTGTTACCCCCATTGCACCATGTTGCCTTTACTCTCTCTATTCTGGCTGATATTTTAATATTTTTCTGAATTATTCCCTACTGAATTTACAGAGGTTGTTAAGAGCTGGAGAAAACTTGGCTGATAATTGTTGTTTTAACTCTTGCAGTTTTATCCATTCACCAGTGTACTTTTTTTTTTGTTGTTGTTGTTCATGATTTTGGCAGTTAATGCAGTTTGAAAAAGTTTCTGCAAATGGATTTTTATCAGAGTTGTTACATTCAAAATTTGGCTGATATTTTTTGCAGTTTACATGGAATTTGGAAAGTATGCTTAAGACTAAGTAGTCATAGTGAAGGGTGCATGTGGTCTTTTATAGTCTTCAGTTAATTTAAATAGAGTGTGGATGTTTGCAGTCACATTTCTCATGCTTTAGGGTAGATGTTTTCTTATGAGCTAATATCGTTCCCTCTCAAAATTATGCAGTGTTGTTTTAGCTAGGACAGCACTTGATTCTGAGGAAAAGTACTGTTTTTCCACCATAATGCTGTTGGGTAAAAATGCTGCAGGGCCATTCTCTGATACAGTTTGTACACATGTGACATGTTGTGTATGGGATTCTATTTCATTTTGGGAGCCTGACTGCATCTAGCTTCACCTGATGTATGTATTTCTGCACTGTGCTGGAGTGTAGTACATGTCTTGTCCCACAAAATGTGAGACTCCTCTAGCCACCCTTGAGTAATTTTTTCACATTTTTCTCATTGTTTCCTTCTCTGAATTTCCTTCCTGTGTTTCTTTATTACGTCTTCTGCATTTGCTGCTTCTCTGAACCAAGTTATTTGTCTCCCTTTACGGAGTTGAACATTACAGGATTGCACACTGTAAGCACGGGACTGAAAACATAAGCTTGCAAGGTCTTAGCCAATGGATAAAACCTAAACAAGAAGCTCCTTTGCTGAAAATGCTGGTATTTCTGTTGGCTGGAAATAGTTTCCTCTTTTCTTGTAAGTTGCAAGCCCCCAGACGACTTGTAGAGTTGAAGAACCACCACAGTCGTTAAATTGGCAAATGTTTTCTTCTGCTTGGTCTAGTGTAGGCTTCAGCCACTAAGCAGATGGCTGAAGTCACTTGCTTCACATGATTGCTTACTGGAAAATGTTCAAGGTATGGAACCTCAGCAACGTTTGAAGTTTGGCTGAAGTTTGAAGGACTGTTCCTTTGCAACTCTGACACGATCACATCAGTTTGTATGTATCTGAGTTTCAGAAAGCTGTCTTTGCTAGAAGTCTAGCAGTGTCAGTGAAAGATGATCCTGTAGGGATTTTTTAAAAATACATTTGAAAGTAAGAATTCTCAGAGTTTTGCCAAGTCTTTCTGTGAAGTTCTCCTGTAAAAAAAATAGAAAATGGTGCTTCTTTTTTAATATTTTCCATTGCCAGAGGATGTGCACTTAGGGCACTGAGGCACCTGAGAACCTTTTGGTCCATGGAATCTGAGAGAAGACACACAGGATTGATACTTTTATTGCAAGGACTACTATTTTCCTTGTGATTCTCCAACAGAGATGAGATCATTAAAAGCACTTGCTGTATTTTATTCAGTGCAATCAAATGCTGAACTGCATGTTGCCATACTGCTTTAAAAGAGACTATTGATTTGTTCATTGTGTTTATTTGGATAAATCTGAAGCTGTCAGAAATGTTACGGAAGGCTTTTGAATTTTGCCTTTTGGTTTCTAGTTCTTTGAGGTTTTAAGCATTAGCTACTTTATGCATATTCTGTCTAAATTGTATGTCCCACTTCATTTTGCATATATGCCAGTAACTGCACAGAGAGGAATGGTATTTCATGCACGTTTTATTATGGATTCTTTTGTCACTTGTAACTGTATGAATGATAAATGCTGTCTGGGGAAAAGATGATTGCATATCAAATGTGCAAAGGGAAGGTGTTGATCACCAGTAGAAGTCCTGTAGCCTGATTTTATTCTGTGTGTATTGTGTAGTTGATAGTTCCTAAACTTTAATCTCATGCTGTTTATCTTCTGTTAGCAGTACTCTGGCATCTATACCTGACCTTAACTGACAACATCTTTGCTACTGTTCTGGTCAGAACAGTCAGTCTGGAGTTCCTTCTCTCTTAGTTTCATTGTGGGTGTTGCAGGCCATGTTTTCAGATTCTAGCTTTTATCATCTGTTAATTATCTACCGTGTTTGGTGTCTAAGTGGAAATAAGTTAAATGCTGAAATGTAATTATTTTAGGCTTATATTTTTTCAATTCTTTTTCTTCCAGAACAAATTCTGTACAACATAAAACAGGAGTACAAACGCATGCAGAAGAGGAGACACTTAGAAAATAGCTTCCAGCAGACAGATCCTTGTTGTTCTACTGATGCACAGCCACATGCATTTCTCCTCACTGGACCAGCTTTGCCAGGTACCCAGAAAATTCTGTGCTGTGGTGGTGTTGTGGTTTTGTTGTGGTGGGGTTTTTTTGTTTGTTTGCTTTTGGTTTTATTTTTTTTTTTAAATTCTGCTATGTGTTTTTAGACTCTGCGTAAATAATTTTCCATAGTTATTTGGTCGTTTCTGTCCCCTTCTCAGCAGCTACTGTTGCTTTTTTTGGCAGTAAATTCTATGTAATTCTGCTATATGTTGTTAGATTCCGTTTGAGTGAATAGTTTTCCCCAGTTATCTGGTGGTTTATGGCACGTTCTCACCAGTTGCTTTTTTTGGCAGTACTAGCATTGATCTGGAAGACTGTAGCTTCTAATTTTAAGAACCAGCAGGACACAAAGCTTGCATTGTTTTCAAGAGGCCGTCCTGCATACCCTGCCACTGATATTGTGATAGGCTGTTCCAAAGCAGCTGTCTTTGCACAAATGCACTGTGATTTTTACATAAAATAGAAATTTAAATTTGTTAATGGCAACTACCACGTAAACAGTGTTCACAGTGTTTGTATAATGCTCTGAGTGTTTTGTAGCTGTGCATATTGTCCATTCTAAATGCCTTCGTTTTGGGTGTTCAATTTTGCTTTAATGGTAATGAGAAGCGTTCAAATGGCAGAGAAAGACTTCTCCAAGTGTAATGTAAAAGATGTGAGGAAAACCAATTATAAAAACGGTTCTGAACTACTCGCAAGTGTAAATTGGTATGCCTGAATATTTAATCTTAGGTACTTCATCTGCGGCATCATCACCATTGAAAAAAGAACAGCCCCTGTTTACTCTCAGACAAGTTGGAATGATCTGTGAACGTTTGCTGAAAGAACGTGAAGAGAAAATCCGTGAAGAGTATGAAGAAATTTTGACCACAAAACTTGCAGGTATATTACAGTTCAAAATAATTTGTTAGGGTGAGTTTGAAAGCTTAAAACTTGTTCTCATTTTTGTGCTATGCTATTTTTTTTTTTTCCTGACCTAACCTGATTAAGGACTGAGATTGCATACAGGACAGAAAAAATGATGTGTAGTCTGTCTGATAGGTTTTTTTCTTCTGTGCTGCCTTGGATAGAAATTATGACTGCTGGGTATTACTGATCAATGGAAACAGTGGTTTTATTTCAGACAGAACTTTCTCTTGTTATCATGTCTACATTGATTACTTCCTCTTCTTATTTTTTTTGTTTCTTTCCAGAAAGACTTTCTATTCTACTGTCTTAAGAGTTCTTTGTGAAGCACTTTTTTTTTTCTTTTTTTTGGTCCTGCTTGGGAACCGACTTCCTTTTTCTGGAATTTGGCAGGATGACAGTACCTACGATTTCCTTTTCTCTTCCCAGTGCTTACCATTACACTGCTGCCAGCCGTGTTTGGTATCTGCCTGAGCATCAGCAGTTCAGCTGCATTTCTGATGCTCTGTGTTGAGTTGTATTTTACACCATTCAGCCAGTATTTGGGTGCCTGATGCCAACTTACCTTTCCATAAGGATCGTGCTTATGACAGCATTGTAAATGTGACCTTTCTGTAGTTGTTGAAGTCCTTTAATTCTAAGCATCTCACATTTGAGCACCTAAGTTGTTTTGCATTCAGAGGCAGGTGCCTTCACAGTGTGATTTAATGTCTGATGTGATACTTAGTGTGATAATAAACATCTCAGTACACTCTTTGGCAATAAACCTACTTTTGAATATCCATGGCTGTTCTGCTTCCCACATGATGTGAAAACACATCAGAATTAGAGTTTGCAGATCTCTTCAGGTATGGGAATAAAATTTTCTACAGGTGTGCACATACAGAACCAGCCACCAGACTTGTTCCAGGCTTGTGGGTTGCCTGTGACAGTGTTGTCTCTGCACCTGAGCCTCTGTTCATGGTCTGTGCTCGCTGATCTGCCATCGCTGTGTAAGAAACTGCTGCAGTCATAAGTCACTCTTAAATCAACATCTAGTTAAAACTATACCTATAGCCCTAAGTACTTCTGTTACTTTGGGCCTAATGTTCCTTTTCTGTGTTTTTCTTTCTAACCTGCTTAGACTGAGTTAGGACTCTGTAAAGCTTTTTTGCTTCTCATTTATGTGTGTAAGGAATTGGATCATTTGTTGCATTCTCTTAAATGCGTTTCAGTTGGCAATGATTGTAATAACCAGTTGAAGACCAGATACATTTACATTTGTTCCAGACACTTCCCGAGTACAAACTTGTAGTTCTTTTCAAGCAGGAACCCCTCTGGCAAGCTCCTTGCATGTGCTCCATATTGTCAGTCCTAAATGGAGCGTTTCTGGTTTTGGTTTTGGGAAGGAAGAGAGCCATAGTTTCTGCTTGGGAGGCTGTGGTTTAGTGAGATGGGTTAGGCTTTACTTGTTCTTATGATGGTGGTCACTGGCAGATTTATTAGAGAGATCATGTTACTGCATCACATATATCAAGCCAATACATTTTCAGTGTTATGTGGGAGTTTAGAAAGAGAAACTGCCAAAAGAATTTAGAAATTCCGTACACAGAATGCTTAGTTACGTTTTTCTGCTGATGGAATAATTACATCCTTCTCTAAACTTTGTACAGTAAGGTGATAGTCTTACAAGCTAGTGAGGTCGACAGGGATGTAACTGGAAATTCTGTAATAAATCTCAATTGAATAGCTTCTTTCAAGTGATTTAGATGAATGTTTGGATCTCGGATATTTTCCACATTCCTTTCTGAATCATGATTCTCTTCTAGGTAGTTCACAAGACACTACCTTTTTTTTTTTTTCCTTCTCCCATGTTCTTTGTGAGCAGTTGCCTTTCATGCAGTGTGAGTTTTTGATAAATTGAAAACTCAGATCACTCTAATGCCCTAATTTCCCTTCCTGCCTCTGTTACCTGAAACTGTCGTGTTAGCATAAACCTGAGTTTGCAAGATCCTTTACAGGTTTTAAAGCCAGAGAAAGAGTTTAGTGTAAGGGGCTAAGTGAAACTTTACCTTGAAAGGTTTTCTAGATTCTATGGAAAAAGAGGTTTTTATACTAAAGGTCAAGTTGTATAGTAATCGTATCAGTATTTGTGTCATTTAACTTGACCACCTTTTGACTTAAAAAAGATTGTTAGAACATAGACAGCATGGGATGCCAATGGTGTAAGTATCTTTATAAGCATGCGCTTAAATTTTCAAATGGTTGCTTTTACCTTTGGTTTGCTTAACTTTCCAAATCCAAATGCCAGAGGAAAGGGCATTTCTAGTAACCATGGATTCTTTACATTTCCAGAGCCATAGCTGTAGCTAAGGATGATGCTCCAAAGCAGCTGTGCATGTTGACTTAAACCTTTAAAGAAGAAAGCTTGCATGTTGTTTTCTGGCCTTTGATATGGACTTTGAGGAAAAGTTCTAGTTGCTGTTATTTTTGGAAATGGTTTCTGGGCAACAGATCCTTCAGTCTGCTCTTCATGTTATGTTGTTGTTTGGCTAAGAACCTTGCACACAGACAGAGGGGAACTGGCTGCCGTGACCCTAGGCCCCTTCAGGCAGGGGTGAATGTCCTTAGGTCTTTGGGTCAGGTCCGTACTTTGGGCTGCTGCTGCAATACTTGCTGATTACTGATACCCTGTTTACTTCAAAGGTGAAGCTCATCCCTGCAAGAGGATGGGGACTTTAATGGGGCAAACCTGTGGGACTAGGAACCACTCCAAATCTAACTGCATTTTTGGTTGAAGATTGCCTTCTTTGACCTTGCCCTTTTCTCAGAACACCCCACATTGCTGCACATGTATTTTTCCACAAGGGAGGAAGGGGAATGGAGAGGAGCGGCATCTGGTAGATATTACTCTCCTTGTTCAATTTCCTAATTCTGAAAGGTGATACCCTGCTGATGAGTGCAGTATTAAAACTGAATAAAATATTGCGAATGTTCTTGTATGTATGCATGTGTATAGAAGGAATGATCTTTCTGGGAAATGGCAATGCTTAGTTGAAATCCAAATTAGTACATTTGATACCTAAATTTCATTTCAGACTATGCAGTAGCTGTTTTCATGAAATCCACAGTCAACTATGTCTCTTCTTGGGGCTACTTTTGGAGTTAGTTAAGTGTTAGTCACTTAGCATTTCATCCTTTTAGTTTGTCATTTGCTTTTGATTTTCTGGTGGTCACAAAAAAGAATTTCTAACTCTGTAGCAAGTCCCTTTCCTGTACTTCTGTTTCCATTTCATGAGATGAATTTTCTTACATCTGGTAGCGATAGGAGCAGAGGGAAGTTATGTTTCCAACCCCAGCACTGACCTTACTGCCATGCTTCTGTAACTGCTCTGCCCCCAGTATGGAGTTGTGACATGGGCACGCTTGACTACTTCAAAAAGCAGAATCTGATGTGTAGCAGGTGTTAAATATATTGAGGTCTTTGTGTACATGCAGCATAGTTCTCTTTGAGCTTATTACTGTCTTTCCCTTTACAGAAGTTTGTGAGGGAAGTACTTTAATTAAGGGGATGTGTGCTGCATTGTTTTCTTGGGGATGAAAAGGAAGTGGCAGCTACAGCTGTGTAAAGTCAGTTCAGACTCCTGCTAGTGGATGTGTGCTTAACCTACATGATTTGTATGTATAGAAAAGTAGCCCTGAATGTTTCTCAGCCTGAGTTAAGCACAGTGCACTCACACCTCTCATGCTTCGTGCTTGCAGAACAATACGACGCGTTTGTGAAGTTCACGCATGATCAGATCATGCGACGATATGGAGAACAGCCTGCCAGTTGTGAGTATCTGTTTCTTCTGGTTCCTGCAGCAGCATTAAATTACCGAATGTGCAAGAATTTAAATGGCCATTGTTTGTTGCTAAGCTCCAGCTAGGCCCCTAGTTAAAATACTTGAAATTGGTAATATAGAAGCCAGAGGTTGAAAGGAAGACGTGAGATAAAATGCGGCTTTTGATTAAAATATCTAGAATCGTATCCTGTAACGTGCTTGATTTTAGTTTTTGAAGCAGGTTTTGATGTTGCCTCAGCAAATTGGTGATAGAGCAGGCGTTTAACTCCGTCATTAACTCTTGGTTTTTCTTCTCTTTCCAGACGTTTCATGAATCACACTTTCTGCATACGTGGGCTGCCCTATACACCCCGTTTTATTGTTGCAAGCTGTCCCAGTAAAGACTTGCAGCAATGCCATATTTTTTCCCCCCTGTGAACACAGGTTATTTCAAGCTTTTGTCAGTGGCAACCACTCTTATGCAGCAACTGGTTTTGGAGTGCTCCCTGATGTCAGTACCACCTGGATGTGGACCTTTGCTACCTGTAATAATACCAGTGGCCTCATTTGCTGTATCATTACAATTTGGCTTCTTATGTTAATGAGTTTGAAAAAGTAAAGGATTAAAGCTGGTGTTCTAGAAGTTGCCCTTCACTGGTTGTGTAAATAAAAATGTAGAATGACACTTCTGACTGAAGTTAGTGTGGTTTTCATAACTGTGCACTACAACCAAGCTGTAATCACAGTTACGTTAGAATGTAATCCCAGGACAATTTTAAGCAAATAGCCCACAGTACTGCCTGTGAAATAGTGAAGGAGGGCATTTCTGTATTCCATGATTTTTTTGGGGGTTAAGAATGGGTTTATATGATTTCTCATTTTTGTAGTTTTTATTTATTCTATCAGTCTTTAACAAATGTTTATTGCTGCAATTTTTCAGTGTATCATTGTTTTACTGCCCTTGTAGTACTGGAATTTAGTTGGAAGAATAAAACATTTACTTCTAATCTGTTTGGTTTTAATATGCAGGTGGAACTTTTGCTGTGTATGAATAAACTTAAATCTGAGTGTTTAAATGAAAACTTCATTGTCTAGCAATAGCAGGTGGGTCAGAATTTTTACATCAGGAGGAGGTGTGGATGAAAATCTCAGGTAATTACTCTTTCAGAGGCGAGGAGATCTCCCCGAGGTTGGCTGTGTCGGCTCCTGCTGCGGGAGCACGGTGGGTGCAGCCCTGACAAACTGTTGGCTTAACCTGCGGCTGACTCAAACAGCTGCGCCTCTGCCCCATCAGATTTCAGTGACACATCAAAGGAAATCTGTTCATTTGCTAGAGCAGGGGCTTGCACCACAGCCTGGGACTGCGTGGGTACTGGAGGAGCTGAAGGTGTGTAACCTCTGCGTGCAGGGCCGGGGTGTGAGCTGCCGGGTGCACGCGCTGGTTTCCATTCGCTGCGTGGGGGAGACACCAGTGGTGGAGACACGGCTCTCGTGTGAGTTACTGATGCGCTCCTGCACGCCGAGGCCACCTCCGTGGCTGTGGGGCACAAGTGCTGCTTACCACAGGACTTGGGTTGTCTGGTTCGGGGGCTTTACAGCAGTTTCAGAGTAATCTTTTGATTATAAACTGCTCTCTCCTCAAGCAGGCGTCTGTTGTGTGGTAGATCTTTGTGTACCGTGTCAAATTCAGTTGAAATGTCATTGAAGCTTCAGATGGTAGATGCGCACATTCATTGGTTCCCAGTGATGCTTATGATGCTGGAGAGGCTGTCGGATGAGCTCCGGTTCTTAGTGAACTTTTATTCACTTAGTAGTGAGATTATGGGTTCAGAATTAGGCACATGGCCACAGTTATATGGCTATTTTCTGCTTATTTTCTTAACACCTATCTTACGTAAATATTTGGATTCTTTTTACTGTGTTTTCAGAATCTCAGAAATGGGAAATCTCTACTAGACACACATTTTGGGACCTGTTACTGGAAAGAAAAAAAAAAAACAGAAAAAAATATCAAGGGCTGTAATTTCAGTTGTCTGCCTCAGGGTTCTCTTCCTCTCCTTCCTGCTCCTCATTTCTTGAACACCTTTTCTTGTTAAATTGGCCAGGGTAGGAAAACCACTGCCTCTAGGTGGACCATTACCCAAAGATCCTTGTTCTGACTAGAAAGAAATGCGTGTGTACCCAACCGGTGAGCTGAGATATAGGAACAGAGTTAAGATACCAGCCATTGTGATTGTCAAGAGTGTCTTGGCTCATCTCTTCCTTTGGGATGTGAAGGGTTACTGTAAGTAAGAACTGATGTCATGTTAGCACCCAGCCACTCTTGTGCTGCTCCAAATTAATACGTAATAAGCAGTCTTCTGGCAGATTACATATAATGCCACTATGGGTGCTTGTGCATCACAGCTGTGGTATGCTTCATTTGTGCCTCTTTTGAAATTGAGGTGGCATTCTTTGAAATTGCACTTTTTTTTTTTTTTTTAACCTGCTGCTTGTTCTGTCTTGAACTTTAAACCAGCTCCCTTTCCTAATCTTGGTGCCAGTATCTGATGTGATGAATTTCATGTGGAAGGCTTGTTCTAACAAGTGAATTACTACTTAGCAAGAGAATAGTTGGCTGCTTGATTACTGTTGAGAACAGCAGGAAAATTGGGGTGCTGTGAAGAGCAGGCTGGTGCTTAAAGCCAAACATGCACTGGAGAGTCTTTTCAAAGGCTTTTGAGTTGAGTAGAAATGGGCAAGATTGAGTATGTACGGAATTCTTGGCACTGCACTTTGCAGTGGCCACTTTATTTTTTGCAATTTGTGCGTAACTGCAGTCTATCCAAAAGCAAAGCAAGCTGACAGCTAATTGCAGCTTCACAGTGAAACCAAAGGTCTTTTGCTTAACCTGTTTTCAAGGTAGTGATGAAATCTGCTTGAAAAGAATTTATACAATTACTGCGTACTGAAAAAGCAGCATGTGCATCCTGACTGTGTGTTGATTTTTGTGTCTAGATCTGAAAGCGGAGAACTGAGATAATCCAGTGTTTTTCAAGGTTGAAAAGGAAGGAGATTCCAGCAGTCTTGCATGCTGGTGCTCGAGATCTGCCTGCATGCTCTTGAACAGGAAGACTGTTAACAGGTGCTGGTTAGAAACTGTGCTTTGTGGAAGCTCTCCATTCCTGAACTGGGAAGGAGTTAGTTGTATGGTGTCACACTGGGGAAGGAAAAAACAAGGCTGGTAAACTATTAAGAGTTTATGCTCTTGTTGTGTGAGCCAGTGCTTGTGACCTTTGTGTTGGAAGCAATTCTCTGGGGTGAAAAACACCAGGATGACTGTTGGGTTTTGAGAGGCACCTGGCTTATTCTTGTATCTTACTGCTGTTTTAGGCTCCAAGATAAAAATTACCAAGTTTGTGTTTGAAAACCATAGTGCCATAGTATGCAGAGGTAATATACAGCATCTGTAATAGTGCAGAAAAATGGTAAACTATTCAAAGAAGAGTTAGCTTTCAGGTCTGATTTTTGGGCAGTAGCTTTGTGAAAAGATGGGGCTACTTGAATGCCAACAGTTATGAGTTGAGAGTCAAGGCTTTACATTGTTACCGCTTCAGAGCTAGTACCACAATACAAACATCAACTTTTTTCCTTTTTTTTGTCCTGTTTGCTTTCAATGAACATTGCAGAGAGAATGTTTCCTAGAGTGCAGAATGTGAGACAGTTGTACAAATGAACATTTTAAAATTACATATCTCCTATGTGTGTATTTCAGCTAAGGTATACAAGGGCAAGTATGGAATATTTACAACAAGAAGCAGTAAATATATATATATATATATATGAGAGGAGCCAAGTGTAAAATTTGTATGACCTAGCCAGATTATATGAAACAAAACCTGGTGTGACTAGATTGCGAACACCAGAATTTCACTAAAGCAGGAAAAGCATAAGGTGCTTTTTCATAGCTGTAGTGTCTCTGCTGTTACTGATGTTGGCTCAGCATTTAGCCAGGCTAGGCTCTTTCCAGGCAGCCAGGACTCAAACACAAAGCCCAGCCCCTGAAAAACGGCAAACTAAATTTATGTCCCATTTTGCTTAGTTTAACTGTCCAACCTTCATACACTTCTCACTGAAGAAAATGAAATGTGTACAACACATCCTACATAATTTTAGTGTTTCCTCTTTATGCATCTTACAGTCTGAAGTACTAAGTAATGAATTAAAGATTTGATGCTGATAAACTATACATAGCATAGCAAACATGAGACTTTGAGCTTCAGTAATGATGTTGTTAAAGGGAGGACACAGCCAATAACTATTAATTTTTGGTTTAATATCATGTTGCTGCACATTGGGGAATTAAAAGCCACACACTGTTGAGGCTTGCTTCTCCTTATTTCTAAATATTTTGCTCTCCAGGAGTGGGACGGTTAGATGGTGTAGGTTTACCTTGCATGGCCTGAGGAGAGGGACTTGGGGGTGC